GATTATTTCTGAACGAATCATGCGATTACTATCTGTATTACATTATCGGAGTTACAGCATATACTTAACTTGAGCTTATATCTCTGTATCCTTTTTTGGTACAACTGTGACGACGTGTCTCGTATTCAAAACTGACAACATCCGGAGCATGTTTCGTTGCATTTCCTTAACAAACATCGCGTCATTGCCGTTATGCGTATATATGTCCGCATAGCCAGGCAGTACCTGTACTGATGAGCAAATAAGTCAGTTAACTAATTAAAAATCAATGTTTATTATCAGAGAAATAGACAATGTTTTTTATGTTGTCGTTATCACAGACGGTGTTAGTTATTGAGGTGAACGGGTCAGATAGAGTTCAGCTTGAGGAAACATAATCTATGTTTTAGTTTGAGTACTTTCTGTGACACACCAGATGTAAAAGGACATGAACCGCGTTTGTTTGCTCATTTTTTTAATTGATGTCATACTTGTGTCAAAGGTGCTATCGTACTATACTATACGATATATTGCCACGTCTTTACTCATTTAATACCAAAAAGGTAATTATGTCTCATTACTGCATATATTAGTCTAAGAACATGTATTATATATAATGCATAATGAATCAGAAACCGAAAATTCAACAAAAATATGTGGATGGATCATTCACACACAAGAAAGTCATATCTAGTCATTTTAATATTCATTTAATGTTTACATCTATTACATCCTGTTATTAGTTCAATCGATAATTGGTGCTGTGTTTTTTAAATGTTTCATGCGTTTTTTAGTCCCCGTTCGGACGCATATCTCTACCATGTTTGACTGCTTATGTTCAAATTATATATATTCATTGTGCGTCATGACATAGGTATATTAATTGGTTTGTCTATCTGATTCAAAATGCCCAAATGACAGCCATTTAGTCAGCTAAAAAAGCAGCAAAAATCAAGCATTTCTGGCATTCCAGAACCGGATCTTGGCGTTTATTGAAGGATTTTGTTCAAACTTGGTACATACATTAAATATTTTGGGTTCCTAGTGTACGTCATTTAATTATTGAAATCGGATTCAAAATGGCTGACTGACGGCCATTTTGTTTAAATTAATGAACTTCTAGAGCCATGTCTCTATGCTTTGACTGTTTATGTTCACATTTTATATATTCGTTTTACATTATGTTATAGATATATAGATGTATCCAAAATGTTTTAATCAATGCTGTTAAGCATTATTTAGCAATATTTCTCAATATATACTTCTTCCATACTTCTGACATGTTTATGTTCCAACTATATTACTATAAACAAAACTATATATCTTAAATTTGATAACTAACGGGGACTGTGACATGCATGGCATGTTTTACTTGTTTAACCTTTCCTTCTGTCTCACGTTTCTTAGCTTGAAGTCAATACACGAACATACAAACAAGATTATATGTGACTCAACCTTCTCCATTGTTTCTTCACATGTGTACGAATTATTTAAACGAAACGTTCTCCACGATTCATGCATGCTAGAAAATCCTGGTTCTATCTATCTACCAAACTTACTAATCAACATGTTTTCGCAAGTTGTTTGACGGTGAACGGTTTATGGTAACTGAAATACAAGTGCATACGACGCACATAATACACTGTCATTTTCCCATTCTCAAACTACAACTGCACGTATATTATATTACGTATATTCAACTCAACATTGCCTAATATTGCGTGATGTAAGGGCTCGCACAGAGGCGTTAAATAATGGGCTCGACTGCGTCTCGACTATGTGTACATTCTCGTCCTTGCCTCGTTAGTTACACAATAATAAAACCCCCACAGCGCCACACTGGGCGAGGAGAAGGGTCTATGGCAATATAATGTGTGAGGCATCTATACCTTTTTTCGAATCTAATATGACGCCGTCTGGATGCAATATTGTTGGTACAAATCACCATCGTCATAAATAAACAATATTAGGTAAATTTGCTTTTGTTGAAATGAATTTTCTCGCGAATAGAGGTTAACATTGGCGTGTGGTAACGTAATATTATGACGCTATAAACGACTCTCGTTCTGATAGTTGTGATTTATAACACATACTAATATGCAGTGCGTCGTGCTTTCTCCTCCCAAATATGCATCAGCAAATAAATCTGATGTTTAAAGTAAACAAGACATTGTGATTTTTTGTGATTCACACAACCTTCTTTGACAGTTATAGTTTGAATGATTGGTCCTGTGAAAGGATTGCTTGCGT